GCACAACAAAAATTTTGCAAACGAGACTGATAAAACTAGATGTAGTTGTGGCTCATGATTCATAACAATAACTGCCTGTATTAGTTCTTCGTTTTCTAGAAGCTGGGTTCTAGAAGAATATGATATCACAACAAGAATTGATGGTCTGAATACGATGATTGTCAGTGATGTTGCCTCTACGGATAATGATCAAAATACTACTAATACTATCTAGTCTTCATTTTTTCCTGCAAAAATGGTCCCTTTCAAGAATAACTAAATCTTATGACCTTTTTCGGTGAAGTTATTTTACATTAACAATTGGAATGTTCAATGAACCAAGTTGAAACCATAGATTGTTATTTAGAACATTCATCTTGATTGTACCCACTAAAGATCGTCTGTATTTTGATAAGGTACTACATGAATGTTTGAAATAGGTTAATTCTGTTCAATGAACCAGGTTAATACCACAGATGAACTGAGACAAATGCGATTGTTACTTGGAAACATTTATGTTGATTGTATCCATGAAATATTGTTTGTATATTGTTAAGGTAGTCACGAAAGATTGTTATAGGTTAATTTTCCAGACAATAACCAGACTGTCGGTTTATGATAGTGTACTTGACTACATGAACTTCTGATTGTGATAAATGGTGAGCGAGCTGTGTCCGCTTTGGTCTAAGAGGATAAATTCACTGATATAGTACAGGATTACATGAACTTTCTGCTCAATCTTTAATCAATCTCAAAGGATTTAAAACCTGAATTGACATATGTGTCATTTGTCTCTTACCCATTTCAGCTGACAATTATTGTCACTTGCTAGTGTCAATGTGTATCCTCTGCTATCGCCCTTGAAATTTACACATTCTTGCAAATAGGACCTGAAAACATATTGGTATCTAGAATGTTTTTATTGGTGTATTTCAGGCAAAGTAATTCTGGAGGCAGTCATACTGACAACAGCGGTAGTGATTAGTCTGACATTATACACCTTCTGGGCGGCTAAAAGAGGCCAAGATTTCAACTTCCTGGGACCTTTTTTGTTTGGTGCTCTTATTGTTCTTCTGTTGTTTTCCTTCATCCAGGTTTGTAAATTTATTATTTCTCACTCTGCACGTTGTGTTCATCTTTATTACTCTCATAATTCATAAACAAATAATCTGATTTCTTTCCTTGTTTATGGCCAGATTCTTTTCCCTCTGGGTAAGATCTCAGTGATGATCTATGGGTGTCTTGCGTCGATCATATTCTGTGGGTACATTGTCTATGATACAGACAATCTAATCAAGCGGTACACTTATGATGAGTACATCTGGGCTGCTATATGCTTGTATCTAGACGTTATCAATTTGTTCCTCTCTTTGTTGTCCATCTTCAGGGCTGCTGACAATTAAAGAGTTAAAGAGAGGAATACCTAATAATAATTTCTCTCTGCATGTGTGTGAAAGTTCTATTATTTGTTTCCTTTCTCCTAGTTTTCCCCCTCTCTTTTGTTGTGGATGGTTTGCTTATTGATAATTGTATAGAACCGTTTTCTTAGTTGGAAGAAGTAGAACTGTATCGATTTTACCAAAGATGACATCCATTGATTGGGGTTCCTCTAATTCTCCTCTTCTGTTGTTTGAGTCGTTGGAAAAGGTCATTAACTCAATAATCATACACGTCCATTGGTCAGGATCAATCACTCCGGTGGGGTTCGTTTTCAATCTATGCCCAATTTCTAACTAACTAATTACTTAAATTAGTGGTTCGTCTTTGACATATGCCCAACTTATTATACTAATCAAACAGTTATTTGGTCAAACGCTTGTTTTTTGTCCATGCCCAATTTCTAATAAGCTAACTGCTTATTTGCTTAAACAAATGACGATTATTTCTCATCAATCATATAGTTAATGAGTGGTCCATTCTTGTTATATGTCCAATTTCTTACCAATTAAGTAATTATTTTGTCAAACAAATGAGTGATCTTCTTTCATTTTTGCTTTTGGTACCAATCAAGTAATTATCTTCACTTTGATCTATAATTATGAACAAACTTATTTTATATTATATATAATAGGTGTAATTTTCATTTAAGAGCATAAGATGTTTTTATAGTAATTGGCTAATTTTCATTTAAGAGCATAGGATATTTTTTTTTATAGTAATTGGCTAATTTTCATTTAAGAGCATAAGATATTTTTATAGTAATTGGCTAATTTTCATTTAAGAGCATAAGATTGTAATTGAGCTACTAAAGGAAAGGGGAACAAAAAAGGAAAAATATTCTAAAAAACATCAATAAGTTGTAATGCTGATTAATTATGCCGTGTCTAATTAATGGATAATAATATGTATCCATATATTCAAGTTATATTTTGTCCCTCACATTTCTCCAAGAAATTGAACACATTTTATTTGTCACCTCAACAGCTCTATTTTAAAATAATCACAAATCTTTGTTCTCTCTTTCATATTGTAAAATGATCCCCCTTTTGCTGCCTCTAAGGATTCAAATAATTTAATTTAAATTTCAATTGAAAAGTAGAAAAATCTTCCTCTCTTTCTGACACTTTTTTTTGTACTTCTTATTTATTTTTCCTCCAAAAATTAAATATTTTATTCAAATAAGTAAAAATTTACTGTAAAAAATATTTGGGATCTCAAAATTTGAAGGGCAGACCAATACTTCACCAACCTCCCCTGACAACGTCTGTTTTCCTTCTCATTTTCTAATTTCAATCAAAGATAAGATAATAATGACAAAAACTTTGAAGACATTATTCATTGCTCTCACTATTCAACAATAGTCGAAACTAATATACAAATAGTAAATAATTCCAATTTTTTTTTTATCAAATCATACTTAGTAAATATAATCATTTAAATATTGAAAATTGAATCTGATTGAATAAAAAGAATAAAATAGATGCAAAAAATAATAAATTACTCATTAATTTAATAAACTAGAAAAGTATGGACAAGTAGAGTCGAAAGGAGGAGAGTGCCAAATATAGCAAAAAAATCTTTATTTAAAGTAGGGAAAATGTATGAAAAAGATCAAAATATACTTTGAATTTCGCTAAAAGGATTATATATGCTCCTATAGATATATATATTAATTAAATAAATGACATATGTGAGCTTTTTAGCGATAAGAGTATATGTCAGTCATTTACATAATGGTAAGGTATATATATGAGTGTCAATTATATACATGTCAGCTTCAAATGACAAAATTAAACGTATATCATATCCTCTTTCTTTTTTAAGTATTTGAGTAGAAATTAGAAAGTAAAAACACAAAAAAACATTAAAAAGGGAAATTATATGCATAAAAGGAAAATCAGAAATTATTGTACAATCTCTGACAAAAATATTAAAGACATATCTTGAAAATTTATTACAACAAAAATTATTTTTAAAATTTTCATTACAACAAAAAAAAAAGAAAACAATTTTTGGGGCCTTAAATATTAACCCTAAAGCCAAGCAAAGCAATTTTGTGGAAGTGTGAAAATAGAATAGAAAAGAGAATGTCTGCAATGAGATCGAAGCAATATTACGCCACTAGCAGTCTTGTTGTTGGGTATGCTTTGTGTTCGAGCTTGCTTGCTGTGATCAACAAGTTCGCCATTACTAATTTCAACTATCCAGGTCTTCTCACTGCATTACAGTACTTAACTTCAACTTTAGGTGTTTGGATTTTGGGAAAATTTGGTTTCTTACATCATGATCCTTTCACATTTGAAAATGCGAAGAAATTCTTGCCTGCTGCATTTGTTTTTTACTTGGCAATCTTTACCAATACTAATCTATTGCGTCATGCCAATGTCGATACGTTTATTGTGTTTAGATCGTGTACGCCTTTACTTGTTGCAGTTGCTGATACTGCTTTTAGGAAGCAGCCATGCCCCTCTAAGTTGACGTTTTTAGCATTGATTGTTATTTTGGGTGGTGCATTTGGTTATGTTGCTACGGATTCGGGGTTTAGTTTGACAGCGTATTCGTGGGCGTTGGCGTATTTGGTGACTATTACGACTGAGATGGTTTATATTAAGCATATGGTCACGAATCTAGGGTTGAATACTTGGGGTTTTGTGTTTTATAATAATTTGTTGTCGTTGATGATGGCGCCTTTCTTTTGGATTATTACTGGGGAGTATGTTGATGTGTTTATTGCGATGGGATCGAATGGAAAAGGGAATTTGTTTCATCCTGTTGCGCTTGTGGCGGTTTCGTTGTCGTGTGTGTTTGGATTGCTTATTAGTTTCTTTGGATTTGCCGCGAGGAAGGCGATATCTGCTACTGCTTTTACAGTAACTGGGGTTGTGAATAAGTTTTTGACTGTTGCAATTAATGTTCTTATTTGGGATAAGCATGCTAGTCCGTTTGGTTTAGGGTGTTTGTTGATGACTATTGCGGGTGGGGTTCTTTATCAGCAATCTGTAACTGGTGTTACTAGTGCTCCACCACAACGGGATTCAGCTGTATCTAAGCAGGACAATGGGAATGACCAAGACAACTATGGAGATAGTGATGAAGAGAAGGGAATGTCTGGTAAGATTTCCGGTGTATAAGTATTTTGGCATCTTTGCCTATTGCTGAAGAGGCTATTGTTAATCCTTCCACTATATTTTGAATCCTCTTCTCAACTGTTGTTCTTTACAAATTTTTGCTAGATATTTGTAAGATTGGGATTTCTACCCTTAATAATAGATAGTACTGATTTGATTATGATTTGGTGTGTTTTTGCTCCTTTTCTTTGAGCATGCTATTATGTTGATTTCATACATGTATCTCTTGTTTAACAGAGCTCCCACAGAAATGTATGCTTTTTGTTTTTCTGCAAAAGTAGACAACCTTTGCATCTTCAACTTTGTTCGAACATACTGCATGTCACGCTGAGATGGGCTGAATTCTTAACCCAGAGAAAAGTGGACAGTGAGTCAAACTACTTAATTTCTATGTCAAGCAAGTAAGCAACAATCTTATCAGTCACCTGAAGAGACAATTCTATTAGATGGTTTATTATCTAATACAAAACCATTTTCCGTAGTGCATCTGTGTTATTTAACAATTATCACTGTTTTGATAATCTCTGAACCTCTATTTCACGTCTCTCATTCGGTACACTAATACATTCAGCGCAAGCGTTGTTGATTCATCCATTAGTTGCTTCCTTTAGGCTGACTGAGCTATCTAATCAAGTCTGAGATATAATTATTAATACTTGCGTGGAAACTTATTATGTGATAATGGACTGTTGGTCCATAAAACCCAAATAATTTCACCCACCAAGTCCCAGCGCATCTGATGAAGGAAAACCCTGAATATCCTCCCTTAATCTCTCTCTGTCTTTCCTAATTCTTTTCCACAATTTCGTCAACTTGCTTTTCTCTGCCCCTTCTAATTTTAATCAGACATTCAAGATTATTCCAAGTTTTCTACCTAGATGGAAAAAATGACAGTTAAATGAACAAAATCTGCTAAGGATTGTCTGTCTTATTCAGGATTGGACCTTTTTCTTATTGTGTGGAGGAATTCAGTGAATGTATTCGTAATACTAAATGCATGAACCTTGCATTATCTTGAGTGTAACTCTTAACAACTTTACAAATAAGTTTGTTGGTCTTTGGGATTAGTTCCTCAATGAGCTTAGCTTGAGCTAAAAAGGAAATCCTCAGCAATGACAATGGTGGTGTACATTAAAGAGTAGGTGTTGGGCTTATGGAAGAGGGAGCCAGGCCTTTTATTTTTTCAGTCTTGAGGATTGTCTCTTCTGGTCACTGGGCTCCTTAAGGGTGGAATTTATCTTTAGAAGACAATTAAGTGACTGGGAGATTCAGAGGGTAGCAAATTTCACCATTGGGCAATTTTTTCGACATCATTGGTTTTTATGGTGGAAAGGAAATCAGAAGGGGATTGTCTCAAAAAAAAAGAAAAAAAGAGAAAAGAAAAAAAAGAAATCAGAAGGGGAATTTTAAGGTGAGTTTTGCATACAACTGGTTCAACCATCCCAATCACCCCAAAGTCATTGGTCATGGAGAGGAATCTGGAGTCAAAAATGCCACTAAAAGTGCCCTGTTTTGCTGGTTATTAGCCGAAAGAGTGTACTGACTCAAAACAACTTAATGCGGAAGGGATACCATTATGTTCTAGATGTTTCTTTTATGGAAAAATGCTGACTACACTGGAAGATCACTGGCCAGCTATGAGGTTATTCATTGTCTTTAAGGGTATGTCATGGACCACGCCTGCCAAGATTACATAAGCAATTCAGAGTTGGGAGGAAGCAGGAAACCATTCCAAGAGCAGAACCAAATGGAGAATTGTCCCTGCTAGTATGTGGTGGGCAATGGAAGGAGAGGAATTCTGGAGCTTTCGAGAATAGAGAATAGTATGCAAAAAGTCAAAACTAAATTATTTTATGTTATTGGTGTAATCAGTTATGCTCAAATGATACTATTTCCATAATTTATGTACTAGACTCAATTTAGGAAAAGATAGTTGGATTCGAAGTACATGTTGTAAATATTGACCAGTACAGTGTTAGTATTGTCTTTTGAGGAATATACAAAGTTTCAGTTAAAAAAAAGACTATATCTTCTGGTCTGCAGTG